CTAGATACCAACAGCTAGAGTGCTGCGTGCAATCCCTGCATGCAGTTTAGTTGGCTATGCTCAAGGCAGGCTCTCTGGCATGGTATAGCTGTGTGAGCAGCTTGAGAAGCCCCAAGCAGCTTTGAGGCTTTTTGAGAAAGCAGCAAGAATCCTCAGCAGCTGCTCCCTCCCTGCTTTTGGAGATATGCCTACACTGAGGCCATGGCCCATTTGCTAAGCAAGTGTGCCTGTGGCTGGCTACGTTCCTCACATTCAGACTGCTGACTTTCCGTCTTGTCTCATACCTGCCTCATCACCATGGACTTGTCTGATGATCTGGACTCTTGGCTGAACCTGGTGACTGTCACTAAACTTGCCCAGCTCATGTCCTGCAGTGCTTTACCTCTCATAGGTGATGCCTCTGCCCATTTTGCTGACTTTGGGCTTACTTTGCCTTAAGGACCAGCTCACTTCTGCTTCTCCTCAGTGCCTGCCTGCTCAGCTCTTTCTAATATGAGGTCTTTCTTTGCATGCCTCAAAGCATAACTTTCAAGTAGAACTTCAAGATCAAAGCTGGTGTTTCTCCAGAGCAGGCTGCAGCCAAGCCATCTGCACATTTACAGCTTTGGATTATAGCTTGACCTGTTTGGAGGAAGCTACTCCTTTTTCTGAATTAGGTCCTATCTTGCCAGTCAACATGTGATTCCTCAGTGCAAACAAATGCCATCAGCACAGGCATCATTCACTCAAGTTTGCTATCTAGGCTTTCATAATCGGTAGAGAGGCAAGATTTATATTAACCTTGGGAAGGTGTCTAAAGTGAATTCTGCTCTTAAAATGACTGTTTCTCTCCACTGATACATGCCGAGCTAGTCACAACTCTAGGGTGGAAATGTCTTCACTGAGGTTGCCTACGGGATAAATGAGCTGAAAATCCTATTCCAGGCCCCATTATATACTTTCAGCCCTTGCAGCTGAAAGCCATGATAGATTTGTATTTATAATACATTTGCAGCCAAGAGTAACCAGTATCTTCCACACGCTTCAAAGGGAGAAGGCTTTTTTGAAAATTAAAGTCTGGCTTCATGCTTAGATTTCAGATTCAGGCTTTCCTAGGGCAAGGGGCTGGATCCAAGGGATCACAGTCCTTTCTTTCCTGTTTCTGATTTGCAGATGCGTCACCAGGCATTACGCACTTGGCAAGGACACCCCAGCAGCTCCTAGATTCCAACATACGGCTACAGAAGAGACAGTTAGAGAGGGCTGCAGAGCTTAGGATATTTCTGGCTTGTATTTAAAGACTAGAGCCAGCTGGCTTCATTTACCAACTTTTCTAAATCTAGCTAATCCTACTGTCAGATCCAGCTTTTGTGACTTTTCCATCCCTCCTGCTTCACTTTCCTTAGAGGAAACAGGGAACAGCTGTTGGAACAGCAGATACAGCCTGAATGGCCAAACACTCTCTGTTCTGTGCTCAGCCCGTCAAAGTGAGGTGATGGCTGCTGCTTCAGAGGAGAGGGTGGAAGAGGTGGCAGCTGAAAAGGTAACACCTCTTTCCTCCCACCCTACAACAGCAAAGGCAGTTCTGCAGCTTTCTGCAGTAGGGACAAGGTGTGGGCGTTAGTGCAGGCAGCGTGGGACAGAGAACTGGATGGTTAGTTGCTGGAGGACAAAGCCCTGTTTTAGTCTATTTGCCAAAGTCAGAGTATCCTGCATTCAACTACACAAGACCTGAGGTCGGCTGGGATTTGGTATCATCAGCTATCAATACCACCATAGCTTTTTGAGTGCCTTCCCAACATTTTGCAGTCCTATTCCTCCCTTTCTCTTCCACTCACAAGGCGTGGGTACAGATAAGAATGAGTGCTTTACAGCTGCTATTTGCAACATTGTCATATAATTAATGTGAAAACAATGGAGTTTTTTTCTTGATCTGAAAAATTAAAAGGCAGACATCTTCAAATCTCACAGAAAGAGTTAAGTGGGTCATAAACCCCCATTCTAAGGTTTGTAAACAGAACACTTTGGAATGCAATAGCTAATAATATAAGTAAAGTAATAATAATACATATAAATGTGTTCTGATGTTGTTTTTAATTAAATGGCAGAATTCTGTAGTCTTCTTGCGCTCAATTCTATTGTAATGCAGTTTAAATGCATATACACATGGTGTTTGATAGTGTGATTTGCTAATAGCGTCATATTATTATATTAACATCAAATAGTTACTTGTAATACCATTAGGTATATCTGATGACAACACTTTCTTGCAGACCTTTTATTCAGTTCCATACTAGCTACTTGAGCTATCCTATTTATGGTGGATGAGTGCCTCACATTCAGTGTATTTTTTTTGTTGGGGGGCAAGGAGTGTCAGAAAGTTAAAGCTAATGCAGTTAGACTGTTTCTCAGAAGGTGGATAAGGAAAGAAATATGTTATTTTTGCCCATGTTTGGAGAAATTGTGCAATTATCTCATATAGAAATGCCTGGTTTTTGTAAGACAACCTTAAAATTTCATATAAGGTACAAGAACAACAGGAGTTACCACAGCTGTAGAGGCAGCATCAATGCCCACTCAATAGGGTTGAGTTCCTTGTTCTGTACAGAGGTTAAAACACCTGAGAGGAAGGAGATACTGCCATCAATATCCCAAGATATATTGCCAAGAAGTTTTGGGCTAAGGATGGCAATAAAGGGATTTGCTGCAGGAAACCTTGATGATGAAATTCTTCTGGAGACTTATCGTTTGGCCTCCTGAAACCCCTCTCTGCACAGGCCACACTTCATCTCTCATATGCTACTGCTAGTGTGGTTGTTCATCTGTTCTTCCCCTCAAGCACCTCGCCTGCCAGGGGGCTGCTGTGTTGCAGCGTTTGAGAATGTAGAGCAGAAACATTGTCACTTCTGTGCTCAGAGCGATTTCCCTTCTGGGCACCCAGCTCATTGGAAAGCAACTGACCTCAAGCACAGACTGATGATTAGAGTTTAGGGAAGAGGTCTCACAAGCACGTGAGGTAAGAGATGTGAAGGACAGAAGCTGAGGAAAATGCAGTAAAGGAGCAGAGAGAAGGGTGACAAGGGGAAGAGGGCAGAGCCTAAGTGCAGCGTGGCTTTTCAATCAATGTACTGTTTCCAGATGCAGAGGTAATTAGGGTTTGGGACACTGGTGCACAGCGGAAGCATGTAATTGGTGACTTCCATAAAATATTCATGAGAAAGATAACAAAAAAAATATCTAAGTTTCAGTGCTTATTCTTGGTTTTTTTGCCCAAGAAGTCCATGTGACAGATCTACAGATCATCTCCCTGCTGATGACTTTTGTATCAAGGAATACAGTTCTGCATAATGGATTTTTTTTCCTTCTTTTTGCATTTGATAAAAGGAAAATAATTGCATTAAAATGAAGAATCAACCAAGTGCTAATGTTACATTATAGTCATGCACCTAACTGATCAGTACAAGCATTTCTGTATGTGCCAGCAATATAATTTCTTCAAGTATGGGTAAGATAATGATTTTTTCCCTTTCCTGCTTGGAAATACAGTCAGTGAAGGTTGCCTGCACAATCCTTACTAGTCACCTCGTGCACATTACTATAATAGACTTTCATTGCATGAATACATAGTCCTTCTTCCACAGTTGTCTCTACATTGCAGTGCACAGGGATACTTTTGGTAATTTGCTATAGCTTGTAAAGCAGTAAGTTGTAGATTCCTGAATTTTAGGTTCTGTGGAATAGAAGTGGTTTGTTCTCATAGAGATATCACAGAATGATTAAGGTTGGAAGGGACAACAGGAGGTCACTGAAGATTTCAATGTTACTTCTGTAGCAATGCCCAGGTGTCTGTTGCATTTTAGATGGAGAAAAAGCCATCAAAATCAGCCATTTCCCTCAGCCAATTTTTTTCCCTGATTTGAGGTGCTTAGTGTTTGTTTCTGTTGTTCAATGCAGGAGGCTGTGCTGTGACAAAAAAAGGTTTTCTGCAACTCGTACAGATTAAGGCATGTCACAACATCTGCGGGAGCAGCTAGGCAAGGCAGCATGTGTTAGGCAGCAGCATCTCAGCTGAGTTAAAGGTTAAAGGTGGTACTGACCTCCATGTATCTTGCATTGGTGGCATCGTCCTGGGTGGATAAGGTCTTGCCCTGGGAGAATGACACCCAGAGGGAAGGCCAAACTCTGTTGGCCAGACTTTGAATTTGATTAGCAACTAAGGAAATTAATGGCTAAAGGAAGATGGATCCGATTTTCAGAGAACAGGCAGTATGTAAAACCAAACATGGCTGTTAGAACTACTTGGCTGCAACAAGCTCCTTCAATTTAATATGGTGTTTAAAGTTTAAGGCACAAAAAACCCCTTCTCTCTGAAATTGCAAGTTTTCTCCAAAAATAGAGCTGGTGAGAAAAATGTGAGCTGACTTTACCAAAAATATCATCTATGTCGTGAACGAGTCTCAGCTACATTAAAGCAACAAAGCTTGGTTACTCTTCCCCTCTCTCACCCTGCTGCTGCTCTGTGGGGGCCAGCATTTCGCAGGGGACAGGTGCAGACCAGTGAGAGCCTTCGGTTTGCACTGTGTGGGGGATTGCCTCAGGGCTTTCCCAAACCAGTTTTTCCTGCAGCACTGAATAACAGCACCTTATGATCCTGACAGCAGTGATAAGCCAGGAGGAAGGGGAAGGAGACCAGAGGCTTATACAGCAAGCTGCGGGCCATTTCTCTCCCCTCTGCCTTGTCCATTTGGGTTCTGCAACACCAGACCCCGGGTCTTCACAGTTCTTTTTGCTCCGTCTGTACACCAAACAGATCTCATAGCTTTTCCTTATCCTCTCACAGGGCAGATCAACCCTACCATTACTCTTCTTGCAATCCCTTTTAAACTCCAAGTGTTTTGAAGGCCTTTCCCGGTACCCTCTCAACACTTAAGTAGGCCAGTGACTGACCCTTATCTGGCCCTAGACATTTTAACTGTACAGTTAAAATAACCATTTTCTGAATCAGTGGCACAGTTTCTTACCTTGGGCTCCTTGACTGTAAAACAGTCTGTGAGCAGACTCGACATCCAAAAAGTAGTCCATTTTGAAGGAACTTTATGTACAGTACTCCGGTATGGATGATCAGTCAGATTCCTAGGAAAGATTACAGAGATGTTAGACAGAAAAAAGCTTGTGAGTTTCTTTGTGGAAAGAACTGTGTAGGCAGTCACTAAAATGCTTCATTTGGCATATTAGGGTCAAAGTATTTTCAAGTCACTATTCATAGAACTTCATAAGCATCCTTTTCTATTTTAGGATGTTTGATTCAAATCCTTCTCTAAAGACAAAACCAGAAGTCCTACTGCAGTATTAGCAAGATTCCTAGAAGTGTCCTAGTACAAGCACCTGTATTCTAGCTACAGTCTCTATGTCTTAAGACATATACTTGGATTCATCTGCTTGTTACATTTACTCTTAGAAAGAAGAACAGAAAAGGGACACTGACAGGGACCTCCAGATTCACAGCCGGCATCTCTGAGTAGGCACTACTATAACAGACTAAATTAAAGATAGTATTTGTGCCACTTATGCCAAAACACTGCACTAGAAAGAAAGACACAATGTTCTGGATATTTCACTCCACCTAAATGACCAGAAGCCAAACTTGCCTTCCCGTTCTCCGCTTGCTGACCAGAAGCAGCAACAGAACCATCAGTTCTAAAAGTTGTGGTTGAGAGCAGTCATTAAGAAATTCTAGGCTACTCCTAGCACTGTTTCATAGCTAAGGTTTATATTTTTTGCATTATTCTGTACCTCAGATCTGTCTAGATCCTAGAATACAACTGTCCAAGATGTACACAATCAGGTTTGCCTTTGCCAGGCAGAGTTCCTGGAACGATGCACATTATTGTGACCCTTCTCCAGCTTTATTGCTACTTTCTGCATATTATTATAACCTGAACAACTCAGACAAAAAACAGGATTTGCAGAAAACACACATTCCAGTTCTCTCACCCACATCTCAGTTCACCATGGCATATAATCATAAGCATACAAACAACTCTGAACAATGTCTTTTTTAAGACAGACAGACAAAAATACCTCTAGTCCTTTTCCGTGCAAACCTAGCAGAAAGGTTTCGAGCAGGGAGTCTGACTCAATTCAAGCAATTCCTTTAATTACGCTGGAAAAAATAGGGAACCAGGTTTCCAAAGCTTTCCCTCTTTCCTTTGATTCAGTTTTCATCGATCAACAAGCAGTCCTTTCTAAAATTCAGAAGTCTGTCCTGATGAGAAAACTTTTAAATTCCTGAGCAATTCACTTTACTGTAGCACTCCCAAACCAGAAATGATACTTACTGCAGAGCATCAAGAGCTGCCTGGCAGTGGTGTAAGCTCCAGTAGTTTCAAGGAGGGTTCCTTTGATCTTACTAAATGTCCCCAGTGTAAGCAAACAATTTTGATTGTTTGATTGGAACTCTGATGAATAATGCATAACGTCAACTGGACTTCCTTTATCAGATAAAAATGGCCAGGAGATGTTGTTACTTAGCAACAGGAGGTGACACTACGTTCATCTCCCCCACTCCCCCTCACCCTTCATACTGAAAAATTAAGCCCCTGGTTTTGATTTGATAAAAACTTTCCCATGGAAAAAAAAATCTACATCAAGTTTCCTTAAGAATTTGGTTTTCACTCTGATCTTCCTTGTTGCCTCTGATATTCTGAGATATTTTTAATGTTTCATAATGATTAACTGTAACATTGTTTTTTGTCTAATAATTTGCTTTCAGTAAGTAAAATACCTACTTTCTTCATCATTTACCGCAAGGGTAAGGAAATTGTTTTGCTATAAATATAATGTAAATAACATCTTGAGAATAGATTCATTTCTTATGTGCTACTGCTTGTTGGACAAGGCAGATAGAAAAAGCAACATACAAAATGTTTCAGTGATGCTATGAAATATATAGAATATCGAGAAACCTTTCCTATTACAGAATTCCTACTTTAAGTAATTCATTCATTTTTGAAGGAGCCCTAACATTCGATATAAGCATTCTCGAGGAATCATTGCATTTCCTTAAGATACAGCCTTTTATAAAATGCAGAATGTAGCTTTTTTCAGGAAAGGCACATTAATAAAAAGCCAAAGCACCGTGAAAGGTTTTAAAAATAAATAAATAAAATCAGATGCAGAAGATAAGTACTTACCAGTGTTACTGACCTCTTTCCATCCTACTGTCATGGAATAAGACTAAGCAAATGCAACCCAGTCTGTGAGCCAGAATGAACAGCTTCTAATTTTCACTTCAACCTCGAAATCAAGAGTACTGAATAGAGAAAGGTGACGGATCTGCTGTTTTATATTATGATGAAATGAAAGCTCTTAGCACAGATCTGAGCAGAACTGCTTTTTTTTATACTACATTAGCCTGCTAATTTGAGGAAAGTGAAAGGCTTTGTTTTACTGTCTTTTATCTGTTCTCTTTGCTACCCCCACAATTTAATTTGCATTTAAAATTATTCTTATGTCTCCACTGCACTTCAAGGTATGGAGCATTTTCTAATCACGATGAATGTTCAGTGTGGTTTTTGTGCAATGGCACTTTTATTCTGAGCCAGAAACATGGTGAGTAATTATAATTGCCAGCTATTTTCTAGAATGAAATACAGAGTGGTTGTCTGATGCGGTTTCTGATTTTTCCTTCATTTAGCAGTACATTGCAACAAACTACTCAGTCAAAGCATCAGTAAAAAAAATAAATCAAATAGCACAATGTCATGGCATGATAGCTTAAACATGCATATCCATAGACCGTGAAAGCAGAATATGTTTCTAGTGATATCTTTTCAATTATAATTTGCCTTTCCTGAATTTAAAAGTGAGCTTTGATGGTTAATAAACTGAAATTAGCACAGCTATCTCTTGGTGGCTTCTAGTTCATCTAGTTTAGCATTACTGGAGCTGTGCATTGTTTGGAATTAATTTAATTTAATGGCTAACAAAGGCCATGCTGTTAAGTTACATGGACATCCCTCACAAGAGGATCAGGACCCTGCTTTTTCCAAAAGTTCTCAGAGTAGTCCCCCAAAGCCTGATTTTGGAAGTGAATCAGAAATTAAAGAAGGAAATTAAATAAACCCTCAGAGTACAGTTTTCTTGGAGAAGGTTAGAAAGTAAGAATCCCTGTGAGCACATTACTTCAGGACTTCCCACTCTTAAGAGTTTTTATATTCTTCTTCAAAGCACCCAGACAGTATCAAAGATAAGGGTGAGCTACATGAACTCCAGGTACAATCTGATATGGCTGTTCCTGCACTAGTATTACAGTAAGTATGGTTGGATTGAGTAGGTGTCTCACTGTGGATCTGGTTTATTTGAGAGATATGACAAACATTTTCATTCCTAAACACAATTTAAAGGAAAATCAGACAGCAAGAACACAGCAAACTCCTTTCTTTGCATTTTGGAGAGTTGCTAGCACCTTGCTCTTTGCATTTTGAAGAGCTTGTATTTGCCGTGGTGACTACTGAACAGTAGGTCCCTCCAAGCTAGCTTCTAATAATTATTGGATCCAATATCTCACAGACCAGGGACCAGTTGCCTGTTTAGCCCAGCTGATTTTCTTCAGCAGAAAACCAGAAAAAATAAGAAAGACTGGCAATACAGAGATGCAGAAGGAAAAATGGAAGACGGGAACCTCACTTGCTCCAAGGATTGTACCTGCCAGTTTGCATGCAATATGGAATACTTTTTGTTTTTCCTAAGCACACTGAATCTCCCACTCAGGAGGAGACTGAAAAAAATACAAGCTTGCATGCTGGAGAACAATTTATAGCACCTGTCCTTTAGCCTTTGGTGTATCCTTCTGATCCCCTTTGCTATCACCCTTTCAATCTGCATTGTCATCTTACACCGTAACTTGCAAATATAGTCATTGAAATCACCAGCAGCCTCTCTACTGACCATTGCAAGATCATCCATCTTGATACCTTCATCCATCTCAGGGATTTACAATTCAGTTTAAATTACAGTGCAGCAATTCTGACAGCTGCTAAGAGCTCTCTCTGACAAGGGAGTACTTAGCAACAAGAAAGGTAACAGTGCCTATATATTTATATGCTTCTGTGGCATTCATCACCATGAGGGGAAATCCTTGCCTGCCTGATTGGAAAGTCTTTAGTGTGGTAGTGTGGACTCGGATTTGACCCACAATCCAGAAAACTTGACCCACAGAAAGGGAAATCCATTATCTTCAGTTCAGTTGACAAACCTACACGTCTAGAAAAATGTGCAGGTTAAACAGATCTATTTTGAGTTAAGTGTGGTCCCCAGATCTTGAGGCTCATTGTGAAAGCTCTGCACAGCTCCTGTGCTAATGCACAGTGCATTCAGATGTGTACTCTGACTTGGTTTCCAAAGAACAGCAGAGCACCTCAGGGGGCAGGAAGGGAAGGGTGACAGTAGCCAGAACCAGAAACCCTAACTCTCTAGCTCTCTGAATGTTTTCCTGTGTTCTGCCAAGGCCTGAAGCCAAACTTGCAAAACCTCTGCTATTGACTAAACCTCTTATCAGCACAGATCCCTCTTTAGGATAACAGGTGTAGTGGTTTTGTAACATAGACAGATATCTATACAGGACTAGACAGAAACTGAACTCTTTGTGAGCTAGACTGTAATACCAACCAACCTCTGCTAAAGGAATACTTGGAAAAATCCTGTTACACTGTGGAAAAATATGAAGCCAAAATTCCTCATCATGAGCTTTAGTAACCTACTGTATCACATTTGACTTTTTCCCAAATTAAAAAAAGAAAACTAACTGGAAAAAAAATCTCAAGAGGAAAGTAATTGAACACTTGGCATTTAGAAGGAGTGAGTAGCCTTCTGGTTCTCTAACAGTCAGATACATGTAGGCATAGGGCTGGGGTTTTTTCCTATCCTGAACTCTCTATTGAGAACATAACTGTTACTGTAATGACTCAGAGCCTTGGAAAAAAAGTCTGCTGCTGACAAACACTAATATTAACCTGAAAGAAAGTGGGAGAGAGAATGTAATGTGTGACTGAAGAAGTGTAGGCAAGGTGATTATTACAGAGAGTTGTTTCCTGAGGGGTACATTCAGAATAAAGGAAGAATATAAAAGTTTAAGCCCCTAAGCTGTGAAGAATGTGGTTTTTTTTAAATTATAATTATTAGTCTTGTACTTAGATATGTTAAAAAGAGAGGATTGCTAGCAAAATTAAGACACAAATATATTCTCTATTTCTTATTTGTAAGGCAAGACAGATATTATGATCCACACAACAAACAATAAAATACAAAAATATTCAAATGAGGGTTACAGATGCTTTAGAGTGAAAGAGACTAACACTGATGGTTTCAGAAGTTTCTACAAATTTTGTTCAACTCCATCTTGGGGTCCTCAGGCTGAAACCAAAAGAATTTTCAGAAGGAATTTTGAGAGAACTGTCTTAGAAATTTTAAGACAGCTGCCCAGAAGAAGAGGCACTTCCAGTGCCATGGTATTTACTTTTAATACTTCTGACAAAAAAACTGTCAATATTCAGAAACATTGAAGAGAACATAAAGGTAGCTCTGGCTCTTGAAATCAGTGGAAGGTTTGATTTGTGTTTTCATAGCATCAGGGTCACCTTCTTCTTATTTATCTCCAAAGCAAGAACTGCATGGATTCCAATGCAGAAGAGATGAGCTTGAAAAGAGGGAGCTTCAGCATCCTGTAGCATGAACAAGAGGTTCAAGAAGTTGCTAGTGGAAAAAATCTTAGAAGTGCTGTCATAGAGAACAAAGGTTAGCTATCCTGCGTAGTAAAAGTCTGTTCTAAGATGACGTATGGCAGTTTGATATGTCTTCATTTGAGGGAGGAAAGGTTGAAGTCATAATTACATGATAAACAGAGAAGAGAGAATTTGGGAGCGCACGTAATCTAAAGCCTAATTCTCCAATCCTTATACAGGCAGAAATACTTCTGCATTAATAGACCTTCGTCATTTTCCTCAATTACATGACCAGATTTTTTTTTTTTTCTATAACGAACTACACACGAATGGAAGAAAAGGAACTTTCCCTAATTCACTGCCGCGGCTGATTTGGTGGAACTAGAGAAACACAGAGCTATCTATAGCAGGGAAAGTGAAGGAAACTAGCAAAATAGATGTTTGGGGTAAGCATTCCACCACTACCCCACCAGCATGCAGCAATTTTGGAGGTGGAGGCATCCCTTTGGACTTCCTGCTCCCTTTTCTAGGAGTTCTGGCTAAGGAACTTTAAAAGGATCTAAATGGGCAGCTGGAAATGCAGACAGGCAACAAAATCATTCATTCTCTGTGCCCTCCTGGGACTGAACAGTCATCAAAGCCTGAGCTATTCCCCATGCAAAGGACCGTATGGCTGGCCCAATACATAATAGGGAATGCCTTTAATTTGCACTAACACAAGTGTTTATGATCTCAGTCTTAACCTTCATTGAAAAAAAAAGGAAAACCAGCACAGGGAAACTGGAAACAAACGTATGTTTAATGACTCCTGATATGGTTTGAGAAACTGTGCTGGAAGGTGATAATTTGTAAATCTGGTTTCAGTTAGTTGGTGGTTTAAATGGGATAAACAATCTGAAGTAACTGAGCAACTGGACATAAATCCAGTAAATATGATTGCATTCTATAAAAATCTAAGATTTGCAATCTGGTTAGAACAAAATCAAATAACTTCTTGCCAGTTGACTTTATATAAGGCAAAGACATAACTATTAATGAATCTACAAGGTGTAGTTCTCAACAACATGGTTTGTTTTAATATTCATAGGGCACTGTGCATACATAGATAGCACATACAAATGTCATTCTCTGAATAATTTACATTAAAATCATAAAATCGTATAATGGTTTGGGTTGGGAGGGACCTTAAAGATCATCTAGTTCCAACCCTCCTGCCATGGGCAGGGACATCTTCCCATAGAGCGGATAGCTCAAAGCTCCATCCAGTCTGGTCCTAAACACTGCCAGGGTTGGGGCATCCACCGTTTCTCTGGGCAACCTGTTCCAGTGCCTCACCACCCTCATAGTAAAGAATTTCTTCATAATCTAAACCTCCCCTCTTTAAGTTAAAAGCCATTGCTCCTTGTCCTATCACTACATGCCCTTCTCAGAAGCCCCTCTCCATCTCTCTTGCAGGCCCTCTGTAGGTGCTGGAGGGCTGCTATAAGGTCTCCCCAGAGCCTTCTCTTCTCCAGGCTGAACAACCCAACTTTCTCAGCCTGTCTTCACAGGGGAGGTGCTCCAGTCCTTTCAGCATCTTTGTGGCCTCCTCTGGACTTGCTATACAACAGGTCTGTGTCCTTCTTTTGTTGGGAAATCCCAGTCTCCTTTTCTGTTTTTGTGCTGTGCCGTGTTCCAAAAACTGCATCAATTTCTGTTATGGTTTGGCCTAAGGTTTTTAAGATTAACTTCCCTAGTACGACTGATCAACAATGACAGATCCA